CACAACACAATTCAAGGTGAAGCGATGTTCCCAAATTAGATTTTCATTTCCTCACCAACATCAGTTAAGAATATAATCGATTTATGTTTTAGCTCATGTTATTTTTCAGCCTGTTTTGAGATTCTCCAATATTAAACATCCAGCAGATCCGTCCTATCAGGACATACTTCGTTTTCTCAAGAGTATCCTTAAGAGGATAGTGTTTATTTTCCCTGTAGTGACTTTTCCTTCTGTTTACTTAGTTTTCTGTTTGGTTAGGCATAAGAAGGATTTGTGTTATCATAATTATTTTGAAATAAGGTGGTTTCTTCCATCTTCACTGGCCTGTTTAGAGATCCTGTGATTTTGAACCTTTTCTCTGTGGTTTGCATTCAAAAATAATGGTGTAATGCAAACAGAACTGAGAATGACCTCTTCTGTGTGTTCTGATGTTTATCTTTTTGTCCTTTTCTAGAAAAGCAAAGTGTCAGACAATGGCTGGTGAGAAATGGCATTGCTCTAAATGTAACTTTGTAGCAGTTTCTTGAAAAAAAATACCCTTAAAAACTATGCTTCAGGTAACTAAATATAGTAAACTAGACCTCCCAGCTTAGATTTGTTAGCTGGACTAAGTTTACTACCTTTTAAACATATTTAAAAAAGACTACCAAACTGAATTATAAGGTACATGGATATCAATAGTAATGTATTTTTTCCATTCTATTTGTTCTTTATATATTTGATATGTTTTGTATTTTTACATTTATTATTAAGTATTTTATATTTTCTTTATCTTATCATTTTAGCATGTTTGTCCTTTATCTTTGAACCACTTGGTAACAATGTGCAATTTTAAGGAGCATAAACATTCAGTTCTTTTTCCCCACATGCTGTTTAATTACACATTTTTGCAGTAAAGTTTTGCAATCCCCCTCTATCCTCTGAAGGATTTAGTTTCCTTGCTAGTTAGGGTTAGGTGCACTTAGGCTCTATTCAGACAAATTACCATTTATCAGGGATCATTCTGATAAAAATAGACTTCCCTTAGCATGATTTTTAATGAGCTATACACTACAGATTCTTGACTAAATGTATTAGTAGCTTAATAGACGCAATGTCAGAAAAGCAAAGAAGAAGTAATTTGTTGGTTAAAAAGCTAAGCATCAGCACAAGGACACTGATGATTTAACTCATAAAAGCTTCACTGCAGCAAAACTAGTGGTTCTTCCTGCCAAATGCTCCACACAGCTTATAGGGAAAACTGATTCAGCAGGCAACAGAGAGATTATAATTATAGCTGCGGAGAGATAAAATATTTTACAATATAGGGAAAACCTCACACTATAGATAAACCTGACTAACCCAAACAACATTCTTTAATTCACAGATTAATTAATTCCATCTGCAAACAAATGTGGTCCAGAAATGACTTTTTGTCCATTCTAGACACAGATATACTTTTTTTTTTAAGTGGAAAAACAAAAGTGTTATTATATATTTTTTTTTCCATCACTTTCACATGTATTATCCTAAAGTAAATAAATATCACAGTGAATGGTCGTTACATGTGACTGCTTCACTGGTTTATGCCAGAGAAGATGAGAGGAAGCAAGATCAAATGTAAATAATGGTACAGCAGAGAGTGATGCTCCATTTAATAACTGCATGCTCTTACCTTTTTGTGGTTTTAGCGTTTAGCTGCTTCATTCATGTTTGAATAGTTTATAACATTACAATGCAAACTATGCAACTAGATTTGATTGTCTTTCAAATTAAAAGTTATGGCAAAATATGTATAACAGACACTATTAGTTAAGCAAGTTAAAACTTTTTCTCATGTCCATTGGAAAAATTAGACTTAGGGAATATTAATCCGAGTAACAATGAAAGTAAGTGGCATTTCACAAAAAAAAATGAGTTAAACATTATAACTCCTAATTAAAAATGAATTTATAACTGATGACACTAGATATTGTTTTGTATTATTCAAAGTTTCAAAAAAACTCCTGTTTTTAGCATAAGTTCTTAGAAAAATATTTAATGATTTCAAGTTTTCATGAAATATAGTAATTCTAGTTCTAGGTAAAAGTCCCATCAGGTCTGAAGGTGGTCCTCAGGAGTGCTTTAGATGGATGTCGATCAAACTGCTAAGCTAAATTTAAATTTTAAAAAATTCCAAGGCCACCCTTGAAGCCGGTCAGAGGGAACCTGACCTCAGATTGTTTTGATAACCTTAACACTTCTGTTTAGTGAACTAAGGCCTCAGTGGCACAAAAGACAGACAGTAAAATAGAATACCAAAACACAAAATAATCTATAGACTTGAATTACAAAGTTAGAATTTGTTTTGCCAAACACTATTGCTTAAAACATTTAAGAACTTTCTTGCATACAGATGCACAACATTTCAAATAGATTGTCCTCTAAATCTACCAAGTGCTACAGTATGGACCACCTGTCACTGGATTTAGAGTCATCTTAGAAATCCTTGATTTAAAGAATCTGTTTCCCCTCAGTAAACAGGAAACAGGCATATGATCATAACCTTTAGATAGGGCAAACCAGATAAGCAAAATAAATAAATATATTTATTTGATATGCAAAAATTTAAGAGAGAAAATGGAAATAACTGATTTTCAAATTTATAGGTGAAACATTTTCTTTTGATTGCAGAGAGCATACAGATATACTTATGTTGAGAGGTTGAATCTAGAGTCCCACACTGGAAATAACTGCGCTGATGATTATCAAGGCATAGTTTTATTAGCTTATATGAGGTAACAAAGAGCATAAAAAACCATTAAAGCTCACCAGAGCACCTTTTCTTTAGCGTTTTTTCATATTACTTAGACAAAACAGTTTCTATGCTCAATTTTATTTTTCTCTTGCAGGGATAATGAAATGTATATGCCTGTGCATGTGTGTTCTGTGTTTACTTGTGTGGCTGTCTGCATGTGTGGCTGTGGGCTGCTCTACCACATGTGAGTGTGTTTTATGGTTCCAGAGGGAGTTAGGGTTAATGCAGTAAAACAACTTTCCTCGTGCCCAGCGTGTGCTTAAAGAGTGGATTTACTGTGTATATAGAAAAGGAAAAGGTTTAGAGCAAAAGGCAATGATGAAAGAAATTGTTTTCAGTAGTTTAGGAAGTTCTAATTTGCTCTTTTTTTTAAGACTACTGACATCCACTCAAAATTTGGTTTACTGTTTTGTAAGTTAAATTTGCATCTAGGATTAGATGATTAATCAGCTGCATCCTAAGGTAAATGTAAATTTTAGGGAAATACTGCATTAGATAACAGCTTTTAACATGCATTTTGCTTTCCAGGCATTTCAAGCTTGAAGATATATTTAAATACTTACTAATACTAACTAATTAAACCTATATCATATAACTTATAAGTTACAACAGGGGGTTTCGTTCCTTTTTCCCATGACTATATGTAAATTAGAGATAAGAATACATCTTAACTAAAGGAATAGAAACATTCAACTTCTCAGGGAGCACTAAAAAATTCTGTAATTGTAACATTATATTGGTGAAACACAAACACTTGGAGAGGCATTTTAATATTATACAGGTATTAGTAATTTCAATTAACCACTTGTTTCCCTTTTTTTTATACTGTACATGTTAAATTATGCTATTGCACAAACTGCACAAAGTGACTGCACAAACTGTTGCCTCTGTCTCCTCTTCCATTTTCATTATAGCCCTGTATTTCTCCAGTCATTTATTTTTCTTTAAAATGGCAAAGCCTCTTTTTCTTTCACTTTCAGTGGTTACTGTTTTCTTGAGCATTTTGTACAATACCATGGTTGGTTAACATATTCTCCCTCCTTACTTAAATCCCTTTTCTTTTACAAAAGAGCTTCCAATTGCTTTGCTGTTACCTGATCAACTTTAACTTGAGCGGGTATAGATTCAAACCTGTTGTATTTGAGCAGCACGTCTTGGACTTGCAAGCAAACTTAGATTTAACTTAAAACAGAACACTGCCACATGAGTTTAACTTTGAAAATTTTGAGATTTTCTTGTTCAGGTATGGTTTTTCCTTCAAAAGAACTGGTAAGCAAGTAAAATATGCAATCCTGCAGCCAACTTAAGCGGAAGTATAGATACTATTTAGAATGCTGTGGGACATATAATTGTGACACATTAAATATATAATATTATAATGCATAGCTTTACTGGGTATGTATTGCAGTATAAAAGCATTATAGTACGTACATAAAAGCAATGAAAATTAAATACTATTTCCACAGTAAAAAAAAAGAAACTGTAGCTTTTTCCTTATCTGTTGATATCAGCAAAAAGTTGTTGGTTTAACAAGTTCTTAATGGAAAAAAAAAAATTATAAAATTGATTGGAATCATAGTTGCTCTGTTTTGCTGCAATATTATAAATCGAAAACCAGAATAAATATCTTCTGTACCAAGTCCAACTGGATACTACTATATGGTCAAATGACATCCCTGTAGATAAAGCTGTGCCGAACGGATCAGTTAAGGACCTATTCAGTCAACCCCCAAAAGCCATCACAATCTGTCTCTTTGGCTAATTGAGGATCACTTTACAACATTGCCTCAAGGCTCTTAAGTCAATGAGATGGCATTGATTTTTTCCCCCTTTTTTTCCAAAGATCCTGCTTTCACCTCCCCCTTACAGAATGGTTTAATAGCTCACAGGAGATACTTTCTACCACTGCCAAATATGCACACAGGCGCTCACCTCTGTGATGCAGTGGAATTTTTTATATTTACTGTCAGCCCTGCAGGCAGTAACTCATTCGTTATGCTTTTTTATTTCATCTCATCTCTTCCCTCATATCTGCCTTGACATCTAAATTTGGCATTTATATGAAAACCTAAATATTTTCATTCTTTATTAGAAAAAGATTTTTCATTCATTTAAAAAGTGTGGGTTTCAGTGGGAGGCGTTGCAAGCCACCCTGCGGCCTCACCCATATTTTCATATGTTCTCCTTACTTAGCAGGTGTGTGTTTGCCATGCTCTCTCCACAGGTGGACAAGGTGTGTGGCCTGTCTACAGGGGAACCTCCAAGCATGCGGCATATGAGCCCAGAGGTCACAACCTCCACCACAACCGCAAATTCGCCTCCTTCGTCTACCTCCTCCTCTTCCCCCCAACGTTTACCAGAGGAGTGGCTGGAGAAGTTTGCCCACATGAAAGGGTAAGCTAAAGCTTAATATTGAATGTTATAACTGCACTGTTAGATCTTAAATAGATTAAGGGGTTTGGTAGCTTATATCCAATGCTATTAACACTGTACCTTGATCTCAAATACTTAGTTAGACTCACTCACTTCTCAAAACGTCTTTCATACACAACCAGTCTTCCCAACCTGGTCCCCAGGGCAGCCATCATGTGTCCTTAGCAGCTGGTGGGCAGGTGGAGACTTGGTAATATTAATCGTCACAGACCAAGCAATTTCCTGTTTAGGCAGATGACCACGCAACTTGCTCTGTACTCCAGCCTACCCTGCACTCTAGCAGACAAACTAAAAGCCATTTGTTGCAGTTCATGAACTGATACCAAGCCTAGCTCTTATGGCTGGCATGGTACTGCCAATGCCATTTAAAGCAATATAATCTAGTTTGTTTGCCTGAATATGAAAATATGAAAAATCATAAGAGTATAGCAGTAGTTTTAGGGATAAAGGGAATCATATTTTTTCTTTATTGTACATTTAAACTGTTTCCAAGTGTGATGAGTTTTACTGGGTTAAATTACCATCATTTTAATTCCTTTCCATCTTGTCTTTATTTTTTTATAATCCTTTGTAGGAAGTTGTTTTTGTTGTATCTGTGGTTTTAAGAGTTATTGCATGTGCACGAATAATCATTTCCACAATTTTAATCTGAGTGTCCTTCCTGTTTTTTCCTTACATTTCTTGTCACATCAATTTCTTCTCCCCATTCCATTTTTTTTTTTTTTACCTCTCTGCATCTCCCCACTTGCAACAACCATCCCCTGGACATCAACTACCATCATTCCCAGTCCATTACCTCTGAAACCCTCCAACAACTATAAACCTAATCTGAGAACACTTTCTAGGTAAGCATAAAGGCAATTACATATTCCTTTCAGGTATAAAAGCAAAAAATACATGTTTTCTTAGGTTATTATACATTTATGGGACTGGTGTGTGTTGGTCTTTGTGATGTATGTTCACTAATGCATTCTAGCAAAAGTTTAACACCTGTTGTTTGACTCACTGTTGCATTCATTTTACTTATTCCAGCTTTTTGTTTTGTCATTACATTGTCAGAAGTACGGAGCAACAAAATGAAATATCTGCATTAACCCATCTTAAGCCATTGTGCGGCACCTGGGGAGCACTGTTGGGTTAAGGGTCTTTTTCAGGGACCCAGAGTGTCAGTCCGTGGGAGTGGGGCTTGAACTGAGACCCTCTACATTCCAAGCGCAATGCCCTAACCACTATACCACACTCCCCATGTGCCTTATGTGGTTTATGAAAGCATGTGGTTGTACTAGATTTTATATAGGGTGTTAGAGGGGTAGGAAATAAAAAAAGTACAGTTATTATTAGTAAAAAAATATTCAAAGACCCTTCAGTTCAGTTTATTCCGATGGTGCCAGTTCACACCACATGTCATCCTTAGGTAATTTACAGAGACAATTAAGTTAGATCACACAACCAGACTGCTGAAAAGTTTTGTCTAATGGATTAGGTTTATGGTTAATGGTGGATTTGTGTTTTTGCATTTCCTGCCACAACTTGTCATGCCCCCTGCGAGAGGGGTACCCTTGTCATGTCAGTAACTGAGGCTCAAAGTGTTGACCAATGTCAATATTTGATGAGTTGGGAGTTGGACTGCGCAGAAACAGACCAGGAGATGCTACTATGATGACCAAAAAACAGAGAGAACATAAAGTTATGAGTGGACTTAACAAATACTGCAGAATGGGAGAATAGAATGAAGAAAAATCATGCTATGTCCTCCTACAGACTATGCCCATAGCAGCATAACTATAGAGATAACTCTGGATAACTTTAGCCACTGTAACTATAAGCTTTATTACAAATGAAATGTTTCAGCCTAGTCATAAAAGTACACAGAGTGTCCACCTCACAGACTAAATCTGGTATTTAGCTCAACATGAGAGGATCTTAATAAATAAAATAGCTACCTCCCTTTTCTACTTTTAGACATGCTAGGAACCACTGGTTAAACTGCAGATCGAATTGCTATGTTAGGAAAAAAAGGAATTGTCAGATTTCTGATGTAAGATGAATCTTGCTTATTTAGAGTTTTATAAATTAACAGGAGGATTTAAAATTCTATTTTGGATTTAACAGGAAGCCAATGAAGAGAAGGATAGGAGAGATTTGATCTCTCATTTTATTTTTTTATCAGAACTCTGGCTGCAGTATTTTAGATCAGCTGAAGGCATTTAACTAAAGCTCGTGGACTTCCTGATTGTAAAGAATTACAATAGTCCAGTCTGGAAGTAACAGATGCATGGACTAGTTTCTCAGAAACACTCCTGAACAGGATATTTCAAATCTTTGCAATATTTCGGAGAACAAAGAGATAAATTTCAGAAACCTCTTTGATATGGGTTTTAAATGACAGGTCCTGACTAACACCAAGGATTTTTTTTTTAATGTGAAATATCTTCTCGGACCAATAATGCCATCTAGATGAAGTGACTGACTAATAAAATCATTTTTCAGGTGTTTATGTCTGCAAGACATGCCTGTAGACCCGGGGTCACCAACGTGGTGTCTGCAGGGACCAAGGGGCCACATGGGGTGCCCAAAGCATCTTCTAAAAATGCACAACTCAACAATAGGCTAAGACTGAATTTTATTTTACTCTGTCGCTCCTCTTTTCAATAATTTATACAGCATTTTATCATTTTAATCTTACAGAGCATTTAAGCATTTATAAAGATTTCAAAATTATATTATAAAGAAAGTTAGGATTTAAAAGAAACTATACAAATATGTTTGAAATTTAGGTGAACACTGATCCCACCAGTTCATAGGCCAGCATTGGTGGCCCTTCCTAAAACTCAGTATCCATGAAGTAGCTTTTGGCCTTAACAACCTTGCAGACCCCTGCTGTAGTCTACTGTATGTAAAGGATTAGTTTAATCTGGAATTATAGACACATATAGCTTAGTATCAAAAGCACAACAGTGAAAATTAATCAATGCTATCTAGTAATTCTACCAATTCAGAGCATAAATATGGCAAAGAGAATTGGCCCTAGCACTTATACCTGTGGTACTCCACCCTGCGGCTTGTGGAAGACTTATCAATAACATGATCAATCTGAAATCTGTCAGACAAATAAGATTTAAACCAGCCTGACCCTGATCCCTTAATTCCTACCGTATTCAAGCCATTCCAAAAAACTTTGTGATCAACTGTATTAAACACAGTACTGAGATATAATAGGACCAGTAAAGTCCTTTATCTGAGACATAATTTTCATTAGATAATGATATCATTAGTGACTCCCACACCTGACTGAAACTCTTCTAAATGGTGTAAAAGCTCAAACACTTGTCTAGCAATTATTTTCTCATGAATTTTAGATAAAAATGATGTAGATGTAGGCTTGTAATTGACAAAGTTATTCCTATCTAGAGAAGGTTTCTTAAGTACTATAAAGGTTTATTTACAGCTACCTTAAAAGCCTTAGGTTCATATTCCTCTTACAGGGGTAGATTAATCATATCTAGAATCATTTCTTAAATCACTTGGTTGGAATTTGATTAAACGTATAAGTTGAAGGCTTAGATGAAGATCATTTTTATATCTCATGAATCTCACGTGAATCAAAAAAATCCTAATAAAGGTCAGTTTCTACAGTTATCTCAGGTGTAGCCTCACCTCCAAGACATGAAACAATCATATTTGTCTAAGAATAGAATCAGTTTAACGTGTTAAGGATCAGTATACAGCAATTTCCAGCACATGGCAGAGGTACTCGAACTAAAAGCACATTCAGATTTGGATATAAAACAGCAAAATAGTAGAAAATAAAACGAAGAAAAATTACCTTTTTTTGTAAATCACCACATTTAAAATCCTTTAATGACTGTCTTTGCATTCAACCTGTTATTTTTGTTTCTCATTATGCATGTTGACAATCTGCTCCAGGGTCAAAAAGTTCTGCCTTTGTTTTGCCAAGTATTACTCTGTCTATATTGATGACATATGTTGGAAGATCTGATAAAGCAAAGCTAAGACACCACACATTGCAAACATAAAAATGTGCTGATGCAGTCAAATTCAAGAGATGCTGTTACTGCCACTGTTAGTATCATCATGTGTGTATATATATATATATATATATATCACAAGTATGCCATGTTAAAAGAATATTAAATCAGTGTTTAGTGTTTTTGCAACTATTAGACAATATAATGACATGTATTGAGGTTACTTATTGTATAGTGATGCAGATGACTATTTGCATGAATCAAAAAATTTCAAAAAAGAAGATTTTATATCATTTTAATTGTTTTATGGGATGTTTTTCCATCAGGGAGTTCTTAGCTGTGCTGCTGCGCTATAGAGCCTTCTTCATTTCACTACCAGACATGCTGTGCAAAGGGGAGAATGTAGTGGACGACTCCACCTGCTGGGTTGGCAGTGATGTTGTAGAAAGGTAAGACCAATCTTCTTCAGGATTCCTAATGTTTACATTGTGGATGACCAGGGCCCTTAATGAGAGATCAAAAGTAGTAATAAGTGAAATAATTGTTCCTAAAGCAAACATAGGAGTGGTGAGGAGGAGTTTTGGCGAGCCTACTAAAACAGAGACGACAGAAACAGTTTGGCCAATCAACCAACTGAATTAGAAATACGTTAGACCAGACTTTTTCAATGCTCATACAGATATCAATGTTCAGAAATTAATGTTCAGATAGGAATATTCAGATAATATGAGCTAATCCTAACCCTAAGCTCGCCAAAGGGGAATATTAATGAAAACCAGCCAGGCCGGTTAAAGGTAAACCTCTTGTAATCTAATATTTTTTAGGGATAAATTAACTGTGGGAAAAGTATTTAATTATTATGAATAAGAATTACAAAATGTAAAACAAAAAAATCTTTACAATAAAAAAAATAAATAAATTTCAGTAATATTTACATACCTTAAAATGATCTCAATAATAATCATTTTAAAACAGAACATTTCTAGAAATTTATATACATAAATACACACAAGCTAAAGTACAAGTACACACTATGTAGCGTACATAGTCTAAAAAAAAAAATCTATAATACAGGTGAGATTTGATGTATTGTACAAGATGATGTCAGTATCTTTAAGCTAAAGGGTAATCTAGAAAAGATTAAATGATTCTGGGACCAAATCACTCCTCTATTTTCCTCCGAAAACTGAGAACAGAGGATCTTTTCCTCTGTCTAGTTTGGTTTTCTCCACATTTTTTCCTCTGTTTTATTGTTGTTCCTCCAAATGGACAAGCAGGCAATCACAGTAAAATTCTGACATGTACAGCATTTGAGCATTTCATCAAAATGGATGAAGTGGTATAAAGGCCAGAATTGTGCGAAATAATAACTAAAAGCAAATTGAAATAAAGATCAACTCCAAGCATTTTATGGTGTGAGACAAATTAATTTAGGTAAATATCATCCTCGTGTAGTAGGATTCCTAATCCATGTCGGAATTTTCTATTATTAGTTAATTTCTCTACATTAATTACTAGGAGGTATGTATCAACCAGTCACAGCTCTACCTAGCAATGGGTTAACCTCATCTCCGCATTGTGATAAAGATTTCTGTTAAGTCATAAATCAGAGTTGATTTAAGCAACTCAACAACTCACTCATAGGATATGAATCCTTGGCAGGATTTTTTTGGGCTAAGACATGAGCTCTTTTAGAGAACTCTCTGTGAATACAGGCCCAGCTTTTTTCAAATGAAGACAGAACCCTGTTTTTTTTTATTCTAATCTTGTTGTGTTTGACACCAAAACTACACATTTTCCTCATCCATACTTGTAGTATGACTGAATATCTTTTTTCCACTCTTTCCAGTAGTCAAATTCCTAATCCTCTGCTTTGACAGATATACATTTCTAGATAAGTCTTGATTTGAGAAAAAATAAAAAATTTTAAATACTGTCAGGCTGAGAGTCAATGTGGCTGCCTGCTGTAAATCTTTGTGCAAATAAGGAAGCTATTATCCATCTCCCTATTGATTGCACGCTGGCAGAACAGAAAGTCACAAGGCTCCAGTCTACTTTATGTTAGTGTTAGTGATTGAATTGTTTTCTGCTGAGATATTTAGTTTTTGCTGATTTACAGATATAGCCTTGGAACCGTTTTCCTGCTGATGGTTTTGGGTGCATCTCTAAGAGATCAGAAAGATTGCTCAGTGTGTGGTTCTCCTATTTTTCACTCAGCATATGAAGAGAATTATACAAATTACTAAGGCAGCGCAAATCTGTAATTGATGCTGAACTCCAGAACGGTTTCTTAAACACTCTTGAAGCTATCTTTACAGTTATGACAAGGTCATGCTCTGCCATTTCATTTGGGGAAAAAAATAGTAACTTCAGCTCAATTGGTCCTGACAGTTCTTGCTTCACCAAAACAATACACAGATCTCATGCATTTATTGTCCTTTGTGGCTGTGACAAATGAGCCTTACTTTGCTTACGTACTTGTAAGGCATTTTTCTCAGGAACAGATGTTGTCGAATTTTGTTTTGTATTGTATTCAGTGGCTGCTGACAGAATGTTATCCTGTTTTCTACCGTCCAGGTCTCCTCCCCTTTGACAATTTCTCGAGAAATCAAGTACCTTGTAAAAGGATTAATTCCACTTCTTCACTTTGCTGCCCTTGCATTAAGCTGTTTTGTATAATTTGATGTGGTTTGTAAGAAAAAATTCTGTGTTTGAGACACCAAAAGATATGGAAGGAGGAGCTCTAGTCACATGCACTCAGAAAGGAACTTTTTGCCCACATGCTAGAAAAGAAAAATAATAAAATCACTGAAAGTTTTGCCTAACAATTTATCCCAGCAGTGAAAAATGACAGTGACAGGGGGATGTAGTGCAGATGTTTTTTTCTTTTACAGGAAAAATGATATTGGCCAGGGTTGAATGGAAGATGGTGCTAGATACCTTGCAGTATTTTTTAGAAACTCATTTGTGGCTGCAAGACTTAAAGAATGGGCAGTAGTACTTCTTACAAAAGTACAGCAGCCTCAAACAAAAACCTGTTATCAGCTGAAATATTAGTTAATTACATGGTCAGTAATTACTTAATCACGATTAATCTCAATTTAATCACAGAGAGTGGCCTTTGAACGTGCCGTCTAAACATTATTAGTTTGATTTTTTTTCTTTTAAATTATCTTGCAATCTACTTTTCTTTGTTCTTTCATAGTAAACAGTACTTTGAATTGTCTTGCTAGTAAAATATGTTATACAGATAAAATTACATTCTGTTGCAAATAAAGTAGATGGTCTCTGTCCAATCTAAGTGTGCTTGAACTATTTTGCTTCAAAGAAAAGACACATTTTCAAGTTGTGGATGAAACTGCAACAAATCTCAATCTGTGCTTGGGACAAAAGTTGCTCTTCAAATTTACATTACATATATTACAGTACGTCTGAATGACATAATTTTTGATTGTTGCGTGATAAAATATGGTACAGTTCAGCTGATGGATACCTTTTCACGCTGCTCTAGTCAATAAAACACCTATTAACTGGAAATGTGTTTAGATTTAGTAGATAGTAGAAGTCGACAGTTCATCTCTAAGATTTGTGATTATAAAAAAAAATATTGGGGGAGAGAGAGTGGGTGAATCTAACCAATACTGAACAAAAGGTATCCAGTTTGTGTCCTGTTTTGTCTTTATGAATAACAATTTGTAAACTGATTTAGTCTTTGTAGAACCAAGTTTGTATCATTTACTTACAAGTGTGTTGAAGTTTCATTAACCGTACTACAGGACTGTAAGAGCGTGTTATCACACACACACCCCCTGCTGATTCCCAGGTGGTGTGAAGTGTTTCTGGTTTGAGTGAAAAACACACTGCTCCACTGGGACATTTGGCAACACTCACAAGACTTGCCCCTTCAATTGCTATTTCCCTACAGCTCACTTTAGTGGCATTCATGACAGAAAAAGGAGGACAAGAACAGGGCATGATAAAAGAGTTGTCATTTCGGTGCCGTTGTGCCCCCTGTGCACCGAGGTGCCCCTGATGAGGCAAGCGAGTTGGGGTAAAAGTATGGAGGGGGGACTTGGCAGCATAAAGACCCATTGTGGAGTCAGTAGAGAGGGGCACAGCCCACTGTGAGGACCCCAAAGTGTGGAGGGGAAACAAAGGCCCTCCTATGAGCCTGCATGGGAAAGACTCGGACATCACTGCCATTACTTTTGCCATTGCTTGAGCCATGCTCGGGAAAGTAGTGGCAGAACTGAAACACAGTTAAAAGAAGCCAAGATGTTGTCAAACAAAAATAAAAAATGTGGTTTGATACAACAAAAAGTAAAAGACCATCTAAAACAGTTGTAACAAAGAAGTGCATGGAGTTAGTCTAGCTCACACAGGGTACGGTACTCAAACAATGGCAACAAATACATTTCAGGTTTCCCCCTAACATGATATGTAGCAGCTTATACATAATCAATCCATGTGATATACATAAGCTAGTAAACAGCTGGAATGGTATATACAATAGTCACAGAAAAAGAGAACACATCCACAGATTTTTTAAAAATCAAAGCATATGTGAGAAATATTTATTGACAGAGTTTTTAACAGGGTGTAAGCAGCAGCAGTGAGGAAATGCAGGTGTCTTGCCTAAGGCCACTCTGTCTACCAGACTGTCGCCCAGACCTGTAGACAAAATATTTAAAAGTATGAGTAGTCATTTAATTATTGTAAGGAGTTATTGACAATTAGAAAAAAAAAACACAATAACAAAGCACTGCTTTATTTTCAATAGTGTTCAGAAAATGAATCAGAACCAATATTACAGAGGAACTACAACTGCCTGCTAACGTGACTGATGAAATTTTAAAAAGGAGAATTGAGTAGATTATGTTTCTAAAGGTGTTGATCTGTATAAGATGAAACATTCATTGCACATGCTATCCAAAGATTAGCCAGTACATATTTTATATTGTTGTTAATTCCCTTTCCTATTTTATTTTTATTGTATAAAGAAATTTGACACCTCATAGAAGGATAAACAATTCTAATATTGCTTTGCACAAACTGGTGTGTTGCACACGTGTGTTCTGTAGACAGAACTGAGAAAGAACTGTCAGCACTCCTTTTATTGGCCGATTCCAAAATTTTGAAATGAAGTCAAAGAGATGGTCCACAGACAATACAGCAACGTGAGTGCTTCTGAATGCCTTGCATTTTTATAAGGTTATGACAGTCCATTTGTTTATCATTTCAACATCTGGAATCTATTCTGCTCATTGTGAGAAGAAGCAGAGAGAATGTGTGCTGAGCAAAGCCTTCATTCCTCATACTCAACTCCCTATACTGTCAAGTCATAAGTTTTGTCTCCACCTTGTTTTCTGTCAGTCTCCTGGGTCATAAGGAGCTTATTTAAAGAAAAAAAAGGTATGATAATTTGTTAAATTGGACAGCATAAGTCAAG